TTTATTGGATCATTTTTTTTCGTGTGCGTACTCAGCAGATAAAAGAGAACCGATAAAAAACATCTCAACAGCAGTAAGTCGATATCTCGACCAAGTAAAAGCAGTTTATGTTTCATCACCTTCCAGATAGAATAGAGAAAAAACCATCGTCTGATCCTTTTTATTCTACTTCTGTCTGATATTTTTTTCACTACACACAAGTTACGCTCGTCGTTTCGACTGTGGGGGACAGAAGTATTTTGTTTGCATGTGCCAGTGTCCAAAAAACTGACTTAGCACCCTTTACACGAATGAGCAGTTCAAATCTCTTGCCTTAAATCGTAGCATTCCAAAAAAAACATACTCGATCTTTTTTTGCAAAATTAGCAGAGACCCGTGCGTCCACGCGTGGTGAAGGTGCCCTTGTAATACTATTGTACAAGACACGTCATAACCGAAAGTGAAGACTTTCTTAAACACTAACATTGTAACCCCCTAACTTAATTCACTCCAGCTACTAACTTTATCTGAGGGTAATCAGGTTTAAATCAGTCGAGGATCAAGCGAGTTTCCTTGACGAGTGTTATTTGTTTTATTTCTTCTAGAAAAGAATCGGCGAATGCGAAAGATGAGTGTTATTGTTTTAGTAAGAACAAAAAAGTTCTATGGTTCTTCTGTTGTAACCAGTTTATTTTATAATACTGTTCAAATTCTAGTGCGCATACTGTGTTTATTGTGATCTTATATATTATCACAACTTGTCTTAGAAGAAAAAATCTTGATATACACAAAATTTCTCTTAAATTGGTTTATTATTTATTATTAGGATTTTGGAAATAAAAATGTTCATTGCAAAAAGGCTACATCGTATTTTTTGGATTTTATTGATTGGAATAGTCTTTAGTTTTGTCTGTTATGCATTATTTACGGTGGCATTGACTGGATCGACTTTTTTTTCTTGAAAATTAATCAATACACTACAATATAAAACTACTGTTCCATCTGCAATGAATATCATCGATTTAGATATGACAATTACAGAAAATTTTACTTGTTTGAAGACAAAGGAAATATTTTACATGAAACGAACCACAATCTGTGTGCATAACAAGACAGATTATGTAAGTGCTCATTTTATTTCAAATAACATCTATGAAGAAAAATATATACAATTACTATTTCGTATAATGTCGCTATATCCACATCTCGGTTTAATCGATATAGGTGCCAATATTGGTACATATACAATGTTTATTGCTGCGATGAATCGTTTAGTAGTAGCAATCGAGTGCTTTCCACCAAATTATATGAGAATTGCCAAAGCTGTTCAGATAGAAAACTTGAAGAATAAAGTAATTCTCATTGGAAATGCTGTATATTCTAGTACAGGACAATATATAAAACTATCGCAGAATTCTATAAATATTGGGGGACAGAGCATTTCTGGAACGACATTTAATTTAACGAAATCAGCAGACGATATTCATATGGTTCGAACAATACGATTAGATGATATTTTACCAAAAATACAACACGAAAATTTCGTCCTTTGTGATGAAAATTGGTATTGAAGGGGCTGAATATTATGTTTTCGAAAGTGGAAGAGAACTATTTGATTCTCTTGACATACCTCTTATTATGATGGAATGGAATAAAATGCATTACAATATTGAGCGTGGAAGTTTTTTATTCAGGTTTTTAAAGACACGTAAATATATTCCAATTACGAATACTTGCCAAGAACTGAATGAAACCGATGGTTTCAGTAAGTGGCCAGCAAACGTCTTCTGGACCAAAATGAATCGGACTAGTATTTGTTAAGAAGATAATGTAGCACAGATTCTCCGCCGATCCGAAAAGGTGTGGGTGTGGGTGTGGGTGTGCGAGTACTACCCCCTGTGTATTCTCTACACACTTACACTTCCTCTGATATATTTATTAAATGTTTCTTTTTATTCTAAGTATCTTCTATTTCAAATAACATCAGATTTTTATCGTAGTTCAAATTTTATTATTCAAAATTGAAATCGACTTGTTAATAATAATTTTATATGTCATGTTTAAGGGTGGTGCATAAGCATTAGAGTTAAGAAAATGCAAAGTACTAGAATTAAGTCTTAATGAATGCAATGATAATGCTAAGCCATATTGAGTGTGGGTGTGGAACGAATAGAATAGCCACACTCTCAAGCTTTCTTATTTTTTTATTCGTGCTTGACTTTCTCGTGCTTATCGTTCACCAATCCCATTTTCATCTATTAAAATCTAATACAATTGATTAAATCTCAAATGGTTCTAATTATAATATAATAGGTCCTATATCAATAGTTAATCATTTTACAATAAAACTATGATTAATAAATCAATAAACAATTAAATCGTTTTATAATAATATTCGTAAAATATTATTTGTGTTTTTCCTCTTTAACATTATATAAATTAATTTTTTTATTAACATAAAAATTCTCTAATTAATCAATTAAATAATATTCAATTATTATGAATCTTTACATTTCTTGAAAATAATAAATAACATTTATTTCTCTACCAATATATGATTTTTAATAAAAATAGAAAATAAATTATTTTGATTTCTCCATAGAAATAGTTCAGTTTAACAATAATTGAATAAATTCAGATAAAATTTATCTAAAGAATACATTTCAATATTTTCAAACAATAGACATTTTCCTATAGCTGAATGTATTCTTGACAAACTAATTTGAAAAACTAGATTTTGGTCATCAAAAAATATTTTAAATTATTTATTCGATCATTTCTTTAATTATTCTAATCAGACGTTTCACTGTTGAAATGTCAATAGAGATCGAAGGGTAATGAAATCAATACTCACATCCTCGAATTGTTTTTATTTTATCAGATGTCAATGAAAAAACGAATATCTTATCACAAAAAAATTTCATTAATTTGAAAAGAATCAATAATTTAGGTTTTATGTGATGAAAAATAAGAGAACTGAATTTCAATCATTTTTCAAATAAAATTTTTATCCTAAATTAAAAATAAAGAAACTATTGAATTTTTTAATTTCTTTGAAAAATAAAACAAATCTCTTTGATATCAAAAAACAAATACAAATTTTAGATCATTTCAGCACTTTTAGTACCAATGTTTTATTTTAATTCAATTTCTTCTTCACTTGTCTTTCCGTAATTCTTGTTTTTGCTTTTCATCTAAATGAAAATATTTATTGATTTATTTTGAAATTTCAAATCAAATTTCTTTTTATTGATTTCATTTTGATAAATCAATTTTCAATTCAGTTGTGATTAACAAATTTTTTAGAATTGAACAAAATAAAATTGGACAATGATAAAATTTATTAACTTCCTAAACAAAAATCTTTTCAACATTTGTTTTAATCAGTAAAATACATTGCAATCCAATTTTTATTATCAAATTTTTATAAAACATATCTTTTCTTTTCAACTTTAGACAAGCTGATTGTTTTCATCAAATAAAAATATACAAATAGAATTTCATAAAACACAACATCTTTTTTTCAAATAATTTCTAATGCAATTCAATTTAAATTACGAAATAGTTTCTTCTTTTCTTTTGTAAAACTCGACAAAAATTAACAAAACATGAAGAATTTAAGATTTATTTATTCGAATTTTTTATTGAAAACTACCAATAGTTTTTTTCGTCTGATTTTTATTCTTGTGGTTCTTTCTATAGTGTGTATGGGTGGGTGTTGGTGGATGTTCGTGAGTATCTTCTCTTAGTAGACATCCACCCAGACACTCATCCGCTCTCACACTCGCACCCACACCCTCAAGATGTATATGTATATATTTTCTTTCCGTTTTGTGACCAATTAGATTAAAGTTCCCGAACTGAAAGTTTGTGTATTATAATATAGATATTGGTTGTTGTATATGCTATTAGAATAAGAGCAAAGAAAAGTCATAGCATTAACTTTTTAAGCAAGAAACTGGTTTAAAAATAAAAAGACACGTTTCTAAAACTTTTAAATTAAGTTGATAATCTACGAAAAACCATAAGAGTCTTTTTAAACCAATACATCGTTGAAATATTTCGAAGATGTGTCTCTAAACTCTCATCATTAATATAACCAAGTCCTTTAAAAATATCTTTGATATACGTGTTATTTCGATTGTTCACATGGAAATGACCACCCTGACCTAAAAAAGAAAACATAATAACATTACATTCTCTCGTATTTTTACACATCACAGGAACAAAGCTCAAGACATCTGCTCGGTTGATTCATCTTTAAACGTTGAAGCTGATAGAATGATGGTTTAGTCTAGTTTCGATGCAGTTATAGATTTAAAATGAGAACATACTGGCATACTTAACCGTACGATAATTTAATTGTGGACGGATTGTTAAGCGTTCTCAACAAGTTTATATAATAAATAAATTATCTACAAAAACTGTGAGACTCTGTTGCTTTCCATATTTTTCTTTCATTCGCAACATTCGATCAATATGAAAGATATCTGTTATTGAAGGACTTTTTGCTTATGAATGAGCTTTTCATATAGTGGCGATTGACTTGATCGATTTCAGTTTAACTAGCTATTTATAATTCATTGAAAGTAAGTTATATTAGTGTAATATCTACAAATTTGATAGAAATTAATCTATGTAATCACTGTAGGTTTTTAGAGACCGTATGAAGATAGTATTCGTCATTGGAAAGGATTTCCAGGATGCTATACTTCTAACATTTTCTGAATTAGAAGACGACTGACATCAAAGACTGCCTGGTGAAGAATAAAAAGATTTAATTAATCTTAATAAAAAATCTCATCAAATTTGAAACGGCTTCTCGAAAACTTATGAAGTTCGTAGTTTGACTCTTGTTAGTAATCTTACATGCAAGATTTTTAGTTTTACAGTAAAACTCATACAGTTCAATCCATTACTCAACGAAGTTTTTGACAAATGTCACATAGTTTTTTTTAGACACTCAGCATATGTAAAAAGGACAGCTTTGATAGAAGTCATCTCTATATAGTTTCTTAAATATGATTAGTTTCACTTCACGATTCACCTTGAGAAGTTGAAGTGGAAGACACAAACGATGTGATAACTAGAAAAAACTAAAATACGTTTTTCATATTCCGTACAAAAGGTTATAGTAATCGATCGATTAATTTATAGAAAAGAAGAACAAGCTAGTTTCTTGATGTCTTTTATTATTGACCATTGTTACAATTAGTTTGTGCGATTGTTCGTTCTTATTTTGAATTTGATACTATAGCTAGAGCTGTCACATTACTATTACTTTTTATTACAATTACTTGGTAGTTGGTAATAATTTTATTACTTATTACTTGTTATCGGGGAATGCGAATCTTGCAGTATAGACTTTCGCAAGTGACTTTTGGCAATTGCCAAAAGCCCTGTCACCACGTACACTGAAAAGCCTTCCTCATTGAAGCTGAGCTTTGGGCAATAGCCGAAAGTCAGTACTGCCAAATTCATGTTATCCTTATTATCATAACTTGCTTTGTTTTTGTTGTTTCAATGGCGCTATACCTATTATTGTTTCTTATTAGCAAGATATGCAGTAGTTTGTTGTAACTTTATTAGAATTACTTTTATTACTTTATTACTATTTGTGATATTATGACCTATTATTGATAATTAGTAGGGGTAGGACAGTTCCATATTAGTTCCGTTCTCAGAAACTATGTAATAGTTCTTTTGACAAGAACTGAACTCCTCTAACGGTTCTTTTATAGGAACTTGTCTGTGCAAAATTCATTTTTTCAATACGAATTGGAATATTTCTTAAAGAGATATTGTAATTTGTAAAGCCCCAATAAAATTCGTCAAAAAAAGAGTCACAATTTGTATTGAACAAAAGAGTTTTGGCACATAGAAGTCTCTATAAAAGAACTGTTGATACACTTAAGTTCTTTTCGAACTGCTGATACAGTTCAGTTCTTCTCAAAGAACTGTTAGAACAGTTCAGTTCCTGTCAAAAGAATTATTAAACAGTTCCTAAGAACGGAAATAATAAGGAACTGTCCTATCCCTAATGATTAGTAACAGCATTTATTACTTATTACCCTTCTTATTTGTATTCCTTTGCAAAAATTATTGCTAATTACTAATAATAATAATAACGTTAAAAACTATTACCTATTATCGGTAATGGTAATTTGACAGCTATCATTATAGCTACAAAAACTAATTTTTAACTCATACTGATTAAAAAAATCGGCTCGATTTAGTCTGAACTAGACACATTATCGATCGCAGATGTCTGTTAGTTATAAATCTACTAAAGAATATTAGTGAATGAAAACTATATTAAGTAATTGTAGTATATATTAATCAATTGAATATATCTGATCTATACAATTACCTTCGACTGCCCAGGATAGAACGATGCCTTTTTTGTTATGTCGATGAAGGTTGTCAATAAATATTTTCTCATAGGCAACAGGAATGTGTTCACCTACTTCTAGACTAAGTACCCAGTCCTTGGCTTCCATATAGGCAGGTTGAGATAAATCGAGATGCGTAACAAATCTATCTGGAAAAATAATATCGAGATTCTCTGCACCATCAAATGCTTTGTAGCTGGTCATACGATAACCATCAGTTTCATTAGCTAATAACGCTTTTCCGTACCATCCTAATCCAGCACCAAAGTCATATACTGATTGTTTATCAAAGAGACGCCGTAATTCTTTCGCTAAATTCTTACACCAAGCTTGATTTCCACCAACATGAATTTTATCTCTATCTAAACAGAATCCACCGGTTGGACCGATTCCATTACATTTGCATGATAATGCTTGATATGTTTTTCGAAGAATATCATATTGGTTATTAAGCGATTCTTTTTCGTTAAGTGCCGCAAAATATAAAACAGACATAATGCACAATATCGTTAATAAACAGAGTAAAATGACGTTCGTTGTTAGTTTCTATATGAAAAAAAGATAAAGTCAACATCGAATGTGAAAAATTTATGATGAATAAACCTGAGAGCGACATGCAGTCGCTTCATTTCTTCCCATGTTCGGAATGTGAAATGAAGAGTTTGTTTTCGTTCTTGTACGATGTTATCCAAATACAGTTTATCAATTGAACTTTGTTTGTTAAAATGATTGAAGATCTGAAGCAAGCGCATATGTTTTTGGTTTTTTAAATCGGGTATTAACAATAGTTGATAATAGGGGTGGGGGCTTAGCATTAGCGTTGCCTTGTTTAAGACTTAATTCTAATAATTCTGTATTAAAATTAGTCTAATACTTAACACTCTTGGTACTAGTATCAGATTAACACTTAAGAGAGCGTTCATGACACTAGCGAGTAACTGAGGCACAAGGCAAAAAATACTTTTTTGATCTTTCATGTACATTTGAAAGGCCATATTTTGAAACTAGCAGACCCAGATTTGTAGCTGAGGGTGGATGTGAGTGTGAATGTTCAATGTCATCACATTCACCCACCCCACACCCATACCCTCAAGGAATTCGAATATTGATCACATCTAGATTAGATAAATTCATACTAAGTCGTAACTGATCAGAAGAGGGCGAACCCTTTTGGTGTCAAATACTCATGCAATGTTCTTTTATATTTCAATCTGAATTTAGAGAAGCAAAAACGGCTTTATTTAAAACCGATACGGAGGCGACTAGGGGATCTAGAGAAATCATCCTGCATCCAAGAAAAGTTTGCTCCATGGTGAAGCCTATACGAGAGATCGGCTTAGAAGGGGGGGGGGGTAGCGGACTAGCAGACCTAGCGGTTTTAAGAAGATTTTATCTTGATTTCTGATAATGAACGAATGAAATTTAAAAAACGTGTGAGAGTGAGTATGTTGTGGGTGAGTGCATGCCTTCTATTTCACTCACAGCCATCCATCCTGGTAAGACGATTGATACACTTTTATAAGAAATTAAGACCATGAACTGTGATTCAAAATTATTTTTGAATGATCCATTCAGTTTCGATGGATGTTTGAGGTGCAAATCGAGCAACTATTATTTTTTTTTCTCTGTTGGATAATGTTCTTGGCCCACTCTTCATCATCATAACCACCTTTCATCCTCCTTTTCTTCTTTTTATTCCAAATCAAAAAAAGTAACAGTCATCTGAAGACTCACTATCTTGAGGGTGTGGATAAATGTGATGATATTGAACATCCACTCTCACACCATCACCCACAAACTTCTTCCTCTCTTTATATCCTCTTTTGAGAAATACAACATCTTTTGTTCTCACGCCTTCATTAATCCGATGAAGTGAATCAATGAGTAACGTTTAGCTTGTAGGGAAAGTCTAAAAAAAGGTAATTATCATTTTGCTGAAGGGATAAGATACTTGAAATTAATTGACCAGGTGTGAAATAGGTAGAGCTCGCTGAGATTTATCTGAGACAATTGATTTCTCGACTGGCACAACTTTCAAAACGAATATTTGGCCCAATCAGGACCCCCAAATCTTTATTAGACTAGATCCAGATCAAATAGAGGGCTATGTTAATGATGACCGTAGTTATATTTTACACCATTCGAAAAACCTCATCGAGCTCTATCTAGCACTACAATTTTTTTCATGGCTCAACTCTAGGCACGAATGCTAGGCAGAAACACTAGTTTTTTTGGCTCAAAACACTGTTTTGAAAGTGGTTTTTGGAATTTTTTAGCGGTTTGGTGTGATCCAATTTTTTGAAAAGTCGGGATCCTATGGTATATCCGGTTCTGGATCTGGCCCAAGTCTGTGGACAAATATTTCCTGCAAAAATTTGAATATGCAAGTAACTTTACTTACGTATTCTATTGTATTGTATGATTCTATTTTATTTTATTACCCTTTTATACTTTATTTTATAACTCTTTTATTTTATCTTATTGTATTGTATTTTATTTTATTACTCTTTTTTATTTCATTTTATTGCTCTTTTGTATTTTGTTTTATTACTCTTTTTTATTTCATTTTATTGCTCTTTTGTATTTTGTTTTATTACTCTTTTTTATTTCATTTTATTGCTCTTTTGTATTTTGTTTTATTACTCTTTTTTATTTTATCTTATTGCATTTTATTTTATTGTATTATATGATTCTATTTCATTTTATTTTATTCCGCTTGTTCATGTAACGCGACGCTTCAGGCATTAACTATGTGTTGCAAAACTTTAAATAAACGTTTATGCCATGTTACAGGGCATATCCAAAAGTGTAAGAAAATATATTTTCATTTTCGAGAAATTATTATTGTGCGTCTTAAAAATATATAAACTAATTCTCAATGATCACGCCACTGATAACAATTTTTTCTTTCCTACTTCGAAACCAGTCGTGCGCGTTAATAATGAGCTTCGAACGCGCGTTTTCAAGTGTTCTCTAAACTATCATAGACAGTCTTTCTTTTGGTAAAAGAGTGTGTGAGTGTGGGGTGGGTGTGGGTGTGGGTGTGGGTGGGTGGGTGTGGGTGTGGGTGTGGGTGTGGGTGTGGGTGTAGGTGTGGATGGATGTGGGTGTGGTGTGTATCTGTCACTCGTATATTTCCAACCACATCCACACCCGCACCCGCACCCTTAAGATGACATGATTTTATTTATCGTTTGGATCCTTTAAACATAAGGCGAACATTACTTCACAGACAAAGAAGGAGTGCAATACCATTTTTCTACATATATTAAACTACTATTCAAAAACGATACTGTACTATAGAAAGCAGGTGCTCTATCCAACTTTCAAGGTTTAATACTTTTTACAAAATGGTTTGGAGTTTCATGACATGTAAACTGTTTCGTAATTTTCATACAGAACCTTTTAAGTGTCGAAAACTGACGCGGTTTTCGAAAATATCCATCTTGAGAGTGGATGTGGGTAATGATGAAGTGAATACCTACATGCATCCAAATCCACTGTCACCCGCACACACCTACACCTTTTACTGTAAAATCCTGTGATTTTTTGCAGTATTTATTAAATATGATAAATAGGTAAGAAACGTTTTCTTTTCTTTTTTTTCATCTTTACAATAAAGTCATGTTCATTTGTTTTCTAATATTTATTAAATATAATAACTACGTAATAAAAGCTTTTTTCTTCACTCCAACTTTACTGTAAAATCTTGTGGATCTATGGTATTTATTCAATATGCTTACTGGATAAGAAAAGCTTTTCTTTTCTTTTTCCATCTTTACAATAAAGTCGTGTCGATTTTTATGAGTTTTTAAATGATAGATGTGTAATTATAGTTATATTGCATAATGAATGACTTAGTCTATGATTGTTTTTTTTATTCTTTTATGTTATATACCGAATAAAGCAAATACTCATAAAATCTACAAGAAAAACTAAATCTTAATTATAAATTTGATGGAGATGTTGTATACTCATAGGAGAGAGGTGGAAAAAAGAATGGCTTTTATCATGATCGTTGTAATTTACATAGGAATGTCTCTTAGGTATGGCAAAAAAAAAGAAAAATATTTATTTCTTATATAAATTAGATGATAGAGAAGGAAATACTTTTATAGCTGCGACAGAAGGTTTGAAATAAATTTTATCACGGTAAGAAAGTATGCATCATATAAACCTTTTCTCTTATGACTACTGAAATAGTCAGTAAAAGATTTTTATTTTAGTCACAAGCTGCGACATAGGAAACAAAGAAAGATCAGTGATATATGTTTAAAATATTTAGATTATTCTGCTTATTTTTTCAAATTAACAATCAACAATTGATAGTACATATATTCAGTGAGTAAATCAACATATAACAACGATCAACGACGTATTTCATATCCTCATCCATCGTAACGGTTATTGGCTCCTGGAATAAGTAGTACGTATAAATTTATATGATGCATTTCGCTAGAAATAATAATTTCGAGTTCTATTACGAACAACATTGTGAACAGCTCCCACAAAAGGGTTCTACCGATCACGAACTGTCTCTTGATTAATAGCTTCATCATTTCTAAATTTTTGTTTTTTAGTGGCCAACATTCCTGGCCAAAACTCTGGATGTTGGAGTAATTTGAAGGAATGCATTGAATGTTTTAATTTGTTTCCATCTGTACCACCTTCAACCGACAAATGCGTTCTTCGTATACAGCAAACAGCCACAATATTATTTATTATTTTACTAATCGCATTATTAATAATTCCTTTCTTCTATATACGATTTCTGACGGATACAGAAACTAATCAAACTTTAGTTGTTATGCGACCTAGTCTCGTCCAATATAACTATTTGTATACGTTACATCCACGGACTCTACAATGTCCATGCACACAAATTTCGATCAATTACGACAACTTTATTTCTGTCTCCCACATATTACATCAAGTATGTGATAGTATTTTCGTCAGCGATGTATGGATTCGTCATCTTACTACGAACAATGGATCTACATTTTATAGGGACGACTTTCGAATAACAGGCGCACATGCATTTCAAGCCTTACGCATGTTTTGTGAACTAGCTAAGAACACCCTTAAGAATAATTTCGTTCAGTTCCATTCTAGTCAATATTTCAATAGATTTGTTACTCCTCGAACAGCGTTTGAAGCACAAATTTTATCAATACTAAATCAGTTTCACTCATCAATGTCAGATAGTTTTTTATTATCTCTCAAAATGATTCAAGACACTACTCAAGTTAATGCATTGTTTTCTGCACTGCAAACAAGCTATAAACTGTATGGAAGCAAAGATACGAACAGCGTATTCGTGACGGCAAAAAATTATGATGGCTGCAGTTGTAGTCTTTCAGCTAATTGTATTCGTCAATCTTCAATTTACGATCATAACACTACAACAAGATTATTCGATGTAACTGGTTTTTATACAGGATGCAATGTGATTGAATCATTACTTCAATCAACTCTTGAATGTTTTTATAATCAAACCTGTATAGATAAATTACAAAATTATTTACTATCATCGCCAATACATGTATCAGCTCTTTCTTGGTCATCATCTATTCGGTATCTCAAAACGGCAACTATTAACAGTCTTCTTTCTGATTTAATGCTAGAACAGTGGAGTTCGTCATTGTGGTATTACAGGTACTATGAGGCGTGTAATCCAGAATACTGTTTTTATCAGACTATTGTTGACAATACGAAAATTAATACAATTTACATTGTCTTTCTAGTGTTTTTTATTCTGGGTGGTCCATTATCCGTTTTAAAACTTCTCATATCGGCGTTGACAAGAATCATCGTATGCTGCGTTCGAAAATCGCCAAGACAGATCGTTCCAGAAGTGTCGATCATTTATACATAATTAGTACTATATAAACAAACAATTATGCTTCGCATGCTTTAAAAGAAAATTCTTAGTTGCATGAAACAGAGACATACAACTGACAGATCAAAGAGACAAAATATTGCTATATTTTTCTGTCAAATTAAAAGACTTTGCAACAAAAAAAAAATAAAAAAAAAGCTTCGCTTAAAAACAGAGCTATGTACTCTTTTCGAATAACCTCAAAATGAAGGTAGGTGTTGATATTATTTCATTTAAAATATCAACAATTATGTATCTAATTTAATTATCTCACCATAATATTTATTATCTTTAGATTTTATCAAAACGGTTTATTATTTTTAGACTTTAACATAATCTGAATGATTAAGAGTAAAATCGTGAGAATGTCGGTGTGAGGTAAGAGAAGAGGCACCCACACCCACACCTTTGTTTTGTAAGCTAAATGATCAAGTATAGACTTCGAAGCGGTTGATAATGTTCCAGAATACTCTTGATCGAAATCAACTTCGCGTGCACTTTGCCAATCAATTATTAATATATTAAAGCTAGTTGTTCATAAAAAGAAAAAGTATAATTAATTATTGAAAAGAGAAAGAGATCAATTGACGCAGTGGTGAATGAGCAATTATTGTTTAACACACCTCTTGCTTTGATGATTATGAAATATTTCAATGATATTCGATTTTCGAATATCACAATGCACAATGTTATTTCTATGTGCATTTTTTAATTGATCCCATATAGTAATAAGATTATTCAATAAATTTGCACTTGATATAATTTTTCCAGGTAGATGCAAGAAAACTAAAGCATATTTATGAACTTTTACGATATTGTATTTATTGTTGTATAATTTTTTGTAAATACAAATTTCTCTATCAACAGGTTTATTAGTTATTTTAAGAGTATATTGATTAAGTTCATTTTTGTCCATAAAACAATTCATTACAATCGAATTCGCACCAACTCCTAATAAAGTGTTGTGAATTTGAATATTTTTAGGTAATTGAACCAATGTGTCAAATCCCAATTTTGATGAATCAACTGTAAAGAATTTTACTAAATAATCGAATAAAAATTCATCTGGATTAGTAATAGGCTTTATCGATGCTTCATATATATAAAATTATGATCATTATTTGATCTCAAAACTTTACCATATCGTATATAATGAAAATCTGTAATAGCACCAATTATATATGTTCGAGATTTTGGCGAATAATCAAGTACTATTTGGAAATAATGTAAAAGTTGACTAATATCTTTATCTTTCATATTTTTTTTAATTTCAAGAATAGATACAATATGCATTGGTTGAAATTGTAAATCAAGTCCGCTTGGTGATGATTTTGAATCACAATTGTAAAAATTAACCAAGCAAAAGTCATGCATTAAGCCTTGAAATAGATTCTTGGATATTTTCCCTATATAATCATCACTATAATATAATGTTTCATGAATTTTTTGGCTGTAAACTTTCATACAGTTTAAATAAAAGTTCAGTTGAATAGATTTTTCGTTGATTGTAAAAAGATTTGGTGTTAATCACTATCAAATATAAAGAATAGATAATGCAGTTGAATACGAGAATGGAATCATAATGCTAATTTATCCATGAATTTTCGACTCTTTATTAGAGACATCATCAGATGTAAAACATATTATAATCTGTATATGTTGTCATACATTATAATGTTGAATATGAAAACACTAGGAATATTAATTTGACATGATTAGATTTGTATATGTTTTAGAGATATTTATGTGATATTGTGAACATGGGTGTAGGTATGGGTGTGAGTCTGAGTTAGAAGGGAGGATAAATATAGCTTACTCCTAACACTTACACGCCACACCCACACTCTATTTTATTTTATCTTATAGCTTTTTTCTATTAGTTCAAAAATTAGGTAAAGATATAAAAGCAATTGTATTTTTATAATGGTTGACCAAAGGATAATCAAGGTCGAGAGACTCGAAGCTGGTATCAGTTTTGAAACTCTTTGAATAAATAGTTTACTGGTAGCGAAGACATATTGTTTCGCCGAGGAAAAGCTGAGCAAGTCTCCAGATAAGGGTGGGTGTGGGTATTACTTTCAGTCGACACTCACACCCACATCCGCAAGTTCAGACTGTATTTCAAAAAGCGAACAAGTTCAGTATGTTGTCCGTATCATCTATCAACAGCAGCTATAAAATGACATAAACGGCTTTATTCTTCAAAATACCTCAAACAACAAAAGACCATTATTGTAAAAACAGAGCAACAAGTTCATGTAATTGATGGTGATGATAGTGAAAGTGAGGAAGAAAGTGGAGATGACGAAACATTCCTCAAAATAAAACGAATGCTATACCTGGTGCATCATTAATTGAAAATATTTTAAATTTCTTAGCGTCGGTTTTCATAGAACTTCGATCTTATTTAGTATTGTTTTTGTAATTTATATATACTTGCTTATTTATTGTTTTTGTTTGGATTAATTAGTTATGAACTAGTATGTAAAAATAAATGTATGTATGAAATAATTAATTTAGCTTTTAGCTTTACGAAATACTAGTGTAATAAAAAAAAATATTCTAAAGATTACGTTATGAAGGATACAGTACAATAATACGATCGTAAATAACCATATACGACAAAATGATACGATCGTAAACGATCATATAAAGCTTACTAATACGGTGAGTCTATAGTCTTTTTTTTATTTCAAACTGAATTTTGAGAAAGAAATGAGTTACACTTTCACCGAAAAGCAGGAGACGAAGACAAAAGCGAGAACATTGACTTTACTCACACCCAAGCGGAAGATTAATATTTTAGTATTCAAACGTTCCATTAAAACTAAAAATAACCTATACTCTTTTCATCGTTTCATTTATACTTTTCTGTTTCATTATACTATGAAATATAAAATTTCTTCTCCCTTTTCTATTGTATAAAGAGGGTGGGTGTGGGTGAGTGTGTGTGGGTATGGATTGCACAACTAAAGCACACCCACACCTACATTCAAGATTTTTGAAAAAAAACGCAAAAACTTTGCTGTCAACCTAATAAATCAATAAAGGAACGCATAAGAATGTGTATATCAGTAAAAGCAAAAAATAACAAAGTAAAGACATACCCATGTCGTCAAAATCGGGGCAAAATCGACGATTTAATCGCGACATATCGAGTTTTTTTAAGAGTACAAACGATTCATTTCACCCCTCCCATTATCATCTTACCCCCAGGTCGAACAATCTGATACTAATATCAGTCACCCATTCTTGCATGACCCTATCAGATCTTATACTAATACCGTATATGATCATACAAGATCATACCGAAAAGAATGTAGTACATCTCTATGTCTGTATCCTTATGGATATATATATATATATATTTACCTATACATTTATAGGTATATCCGTATACTTATACCCTCATGGGTAACTACTTATACCTACATGGGTAACTACTTATACCTACATGGGTACTTATGAATATTTATATACCCCCATGGGTATAGACATATACCTATACCCCCATGGGTATAAACATATACTTACACCCTCATGGGTGTATACATTTACCTATACCTCTATAGGTATATACATATACTTACACCCTCATGGGTGTATACATATACCTATACCCCCATGGGTATATACATATACTTACACCCTCATGGGTAGGTCTTTTTATTGGTATCAGCGCTGCTGTATATCATTTGTTGATATTTGAATCTTTTTTTATTTCTTTTTTGTTTTTATTTTATCACTCGATTCAAGTGTATGGCTTGAGAATAAGACATTTTCAATCAGAAGAGATAAAATAGATGTGATTAATCCAAAGTACTATAACAAATAAGACAAGTTCATGCGTCTAATGGAAAGTCATTGAATATAGTTAAAAGATGTTAGAAAAATCAGGAAAATAAGCATGTACACGTATATCAAACAACCAAGCATCAACGTCTTTTTTTTATTGATTAAACCGCATTAATCAGTAAATAATTATTTTTAAACTTCTATTCTCAGCATGTGGCATTTATTACTAAGTCAACTGCAGCTTGAGAAAGTCTTCGGTATTCCTATTTTCCCTTCTCTTAATGAAAATATAATAAATTAAATAAAACACGAACTTGGTCTCACTTTCATAATAATATAACAAAAAATCGTCAATCAATCGCGATTGATTGGCGATATTTTTTAAACCGCGATTAATCGACGATTTTTTGTCAAAATCGCGATTCATCGCCCAAACCTTGGCGATTTTGAAGACATGGGTAGTATATGATCGATTTCTATTGCTTATTTTGCTGATTTAAAAAAAAACAATGTAAAAAGCATTATATTATTCACTATACCGTCTTTTCAAGATACGGTTACCGATGACAGTGATCAGTTACAAAGACATTCTCGTCCTTTTTTGCTTTCTGTTACTTACAAATCATTTTTCGTATTATACCAGTTAACAGATGTTTTATCTACGTTCTCTTGTTTTATTTATTATTCAAGTTACTCATGTCATTCGTAAAATGTTACTTTTCATCAATAAAAAACGTTTCATTTCAATTGGTATTTTGCTTACTTTAATTATATTAATGATAATTATTTATATTGATACACCGACAACAATATATTCTATAGATATTCAAAACATTCAACTTAACAATGTTGAGAATCATACAAAACAATTATTACCACGTGTTCTTTGTCTAATATTAACAACACCAAAAAATTTTCTCTCTCGTGTAATAGCTGTTAATGAAACATGGGGTCCACGATGTGATCGTTATTTTTTTGTTACAGAATCTCCTACACAAACAATGACACCTGAACAAATCAATTTCACGCAACAAATACCAATTGCACCGATTCAAAATATTACATCTGGCTATGGTCACTTAACACAAAAATCAACATTAGCATTTCTATTTGCATATGAAAAATATTTCAATGACTTTGACTGGGTCGTCAAAGCAGATGACGATACATATTTGATTGTTGAAAACTTAAAAGCTTTTCTAAGTCAACAAAATACATCTGAACCTGTGACATTTGGATATAATTTTAAGGTAATCCTCAAAATCACCTTATATTTACTATGTATTTGTATAGATCGAGTGATTTTGTTTATGACTGAAATTAATATAAACATTTTTCTCATCTTTCTTCGAGTCGTGTGAGATAATATAATTCAAAAACTGAGATATTTTTCTATAATTCTTATGCTATTGAAATGAGATATTCACTTGTGAAGTCTACGTAACATGATCCAAATCATAATCATTAAATAAAAATTTTAATTTATATTTTCTATAGATAATTGTTTCAAAGGGATACCATTCAGGTGGAGCATCTTATGTATTAAGTCGAGAATCATTACGAAGATTTTATGAGGCTCATAACGATCTGAATTCCACATGTCGTAAAGATGGTGGTGCTGAAGATGTTGAAATTGCTAAATGTCTTCGTTCTAAAGGTGTTTATCCGGGCAAATCATTGGATAAGCAAAATCGTGAATTGTTCCATCCACTTCCATATATCAGTCATTTTCGGGGTAATATTCCTAATTGGCTCAAACAATATGCTGAGAATCCATTACAAACTGTGAGTTGATTGAAGATATTACTTCGTCAAGGAATGATGCATTTTGTTTTTTAGGGTGATAATTGTTGTAGTGATCAAACAATTTCATTTCATTATGTTGATCCCAACCAAATATATCTGATGGATTTTTTATTGTACAAAACTCGATTCTGGGATCTATCGCAAAGAAAAAAATGGGAAGCTAGATAAAAACTTTTCTAGAACTGAAACGGTTCACATTTAATTTTTTAAAAATGTGAAGATGCAGAACAGTTATTTTTCATTTGATGATTTTTGTCTGTAATAAAATAGTGCAACTTTGCCTGAAAGCATTAGAAATTTTCCTAAAGTGTGTGGGTGTGGATAATGTTTCATTCAACATGACACCTGCACCCACCCTCAAGATGGATGTCTCATACATACCCTTCAAAACTACACCCTCACACAAAAGTCTTTCTCCTCTTCCTTTCTTTGCTGTCATACTTCGTATAAAAATTGCCAAGTAGAGATATGGCTTGAGAGTTTTATTTCAGTATGGTATGCAGATTACAATACAATAAAACTCTTAAGTCATATCTCTACTTGGCAATGAGTTTTATACAAAGTATGATAGCACAGAAATAAAGAGGTAGGAAAGAATTTTGTCCACAAGTATATCTCATATTTGCGTCCATTTTTCTATAAAAATTGTTTTTCGAAAGAATTTGAGATTTTTTTACTGTTTTTTTTTGTCTGTTTAAGTGAAATTTTTTCGATACAATATGTGATTCCAATCGATCAGTTTACCATTTCGCAACCGACTCTCGCCACTGAATTGTATCATGTCGCAAAAAATAAGTATTCTTATAAACAAAAGGTGAAGACAATTAAAATACTCGAAAGAACTCAAAATCTTGGAAATATTTCATTTTACAAAAATTCAAAAGTGTTGTATAAGGGTGGGTATGGGTGTTTTCTTTCATCATCCCCACCCACACCCCACCCGACACCCGCATCTACCCTCGAGATGGTAAATTAGGGTGTGGGTGTGAGTGTGGGTGTTGTATGGTTCTTATCTCTAAACTACACCCCCACCTACACCCTGTAGAATACTTGCCATTTTGATGCAAAAAATTAAAAAAGAAAAGAAATGCAAAAAGTAGAAACGACAGAAAAAAAGCAGAAGACCTAGTAGCACTAATCAGATCAGTTTATCATCGTCCTCAAGTGTCAAACACATCTTAGTTTCACTTGATCAAACACACTAGTTTTCCTGTATTCTTTCATAGCTTCACCGTAGAGCTTCAGAGGAACTTCCATTTTACTATTCGATTTCGTACGAAATGGCTTAGTGAGTGTATAGTGAACAATTTTAAAATCCGGCTGCATTCGTTTCCATAAATCAGGGTAGGCCAAATACAGAGCTATGTTTACATTATAGATGATCGGTAATTCTAAATATCGCAGCTGAAAAAAGGCATTTAAAAACGCCTGCTCAGCCATTGTTGGAGCATAGTTTCCCTCGAAACTACTCGTTCGTAGCAGTTCTTTGAATACAGTAATAGATGGATGTAGAACGAGCACACCAGCGTTAAAATGATAAGCAAATTTTCCGTGCCAGTTATCAGCAACAGCAGCAAATTCGAATCTCGTCCGAGACGGATCAGCTACGAGCTCATGCAGATGCGAAATATCACCTAGAACTAGAGTGTCGGCATCTAAATAAATAATGGAATCGAATTCAGTCATATTCCATAGTGTTAATTTTGTAAACTGATTGATGAAATGAGGCCAGGTTCCTTTCAGTGGTGGTGGAATATTCTGCACGAGTCTTGGTATCCAGCCAACTTGACGCAAAGAACATAGTGTTCGGTTACTCAGTGCATTGTCAAAATACATAATATACATCGGATAGTGCGGATGATATTTTTTCAGAGTATGGCCGAGAATCATTGCTCCTTCTAAATAGTTGTTATCGATATACAATGAACTAAAAAATGCTTTTCGAGACACATTCGTTGCTAGATTTATTTTTGTCTTTGATTGTTCTTGACAAGAATAACTATCATGACAGGCTATTGCGGAATCAAGTAACGTCGACGGAAAGCAAGGTTGAAAAGTGGTGATTTCGCCTGATTTATTGCATATAATTCGTTCATCTTTTTGACACATAGGACGAAGAACAGGAGTGACATTATAGATGCATTTCTGAACCTTATATTCAACCGTTGACGAGCGAAGAACAGGAGTGGCATTGTAGATGCATTTCTGAATCTTATATTGAACCGTTGACGGACGAAGAAAACAAATGCCAAATGATGTGAATAAAACAGCAAAAATATAAAGCAAACAGTTTCGGATATGTGTTGGGATCGATAGTTTGTGAAGCATGATCTACAAAATATAATAAACATACGCAAAACGGATTTCTCCAACAGCGGTAAAATAAACTGAAACAAATATATAAATAAAGTTGAGGGTGGGTGTGGGTGTGGATGCCTCTAAAGTATCAACTACATACCCATCCTTAAAATGATTTACTTTTTTTGCAATTACTGCAATGAATTATACGGCAACATCAGTTGTCATAATGGATGCATTAAAATATTTTTTTGCTATTGATTTGGTTCACGAAGAACGTTTTAAAATAAATCATGGTCGTCCTAATTAATATATATTTATTTAATATTTAAATTATGACTTGAGGGTGGGTGTGAGTGTAAGCATTCATCTTCGTCCTCACCTAAACCCCACACCCAGACCCAGTAAGATCATACGATATGGTTGTTATCTTTGCAAACAGTATCAAACGGAATAACAAAATCAGATATATTTTGCTGTTGACAAGAAGGGGAATATGAAAGTCGCTCTCTTTCGCCTTTCTCTGCAAGAAGCGGTCCAAAAGTAAACCAAACATCACCACATGAGGCACGAAAGGGAAGTAACATGCTGAAACGAGCAGCGTGGGTCAATGCAATAGAATTCATCATATACTGATCTTTACCAATGAAGAAGTCCTTTGCACGATAATCATCAATAGTTGCATAGTAGACTGATGTCCACCATCTGATGGCGCTAGCCGAACCACCCATAAAAGTACCTTCAATAAGATCCATCTTAATCGGACCATTGATCATCGTATAGTTGAAAGCACAGAATCGACGAGGAAGTGGTGTAATCATACCGAGAAAAAATCGGTCATTCTTAAACACAGTGGAGATGGCAGCCGGATGAGGCCATGCTCGAAAACGATAGTTAGCCGAACGAAAAGCTCCAGCATCGACATAAAGAAAATACTTTGTTCCAAAAGGATTTAACTCTGCACTTCTATTGAGCACGTAAGATTTGGCACACCAGACAGCGTAGAGATCAACTGAATGTAATGCACGTTCAGGATCGACTTGATGCTGTCGTTCGAAGGTGGCAAGATAGGTTTTTATTGGTGGCATCTGAAGAGGTGATTCATAATCGAGTATGAAGTACGATGGCAACGACCCATTTTGACGAAGTCTATTTAGAATAGAATGATACTTGACAGATGTGAAGATAATCATCGGCGACTGAGAGAAACCGAGTAGATTCTCAAGCCATGATTGGTATTCAGTTAACGTATGCTTAGACTTCTTCAAAGGAAAATATAAAATCACAATAGTAGTATCCAGTGAATTGTTTACTCGCGATGAGACGGTATTTCGATGAGAAAAGAAAGAAAATTGAATCAAGCTGTTGTTGAACCGAATAATTGGCATTAGCACTATCAATCCAACGATTAGAAATGCCAAAGCATCAATAGTTCTTCGATAGGTCATACGCAACATTATCTGAAGCAAATAGTGGTAATATATAACTAAATATTATAATATTTCATAGAGAAAGTTTGTTCAAATATATAATTAAAGTTATCATGCTTAAAAATAGAGTTTTTTTAGATACTATCCTTCACAGTCATTTTATAACGCTAAACGCATCATTAGATACAGCAGTTAAATTCTCCAACTAAAGGAGTGAATCTGATATAATATTTCAACTTTCACATTAAATATTAATGAAAAGATATTATGAAAATAACTTACACGAAAGTATGACGAAATATGAAAAAATAGTAGAAGTCTATATTACATGTCTGAACAAACTTTCTCTATAGAGCGGGTCTAGGCGATCGTTGCTTTGCGTGTGGATGTGGGCATGAGGTGTGGGGTACGGGTTTGTACTCGAGAAGAGTATAAGACCTAAACCTACCTCCACATACCCACATCCTCTGTGAATTGAAAACTTAATTAAATTTGATTGATCAGTAAACAAGACTGCACCGATACCAATGACGACTAGTATAAAAAAGCATAATTGTCGATAAGTTATTTGAAATGTCATCTAAAACAGATAATATATTGAAACATCTTTATTTTTTTAACAGAAGATCTAAATAATTTAATTTGTATTGTTTAAAAATGAAAACCATGATGGAAAAAAATCATTTTTTCGACAATCAACATCAAGAGGAGTATGATCCGGTTTTGAATCAGTTATTACATCACGTAATCTATTATGTGAAAGAAAAGCTCCCCACAATCCAAATGTTCCTACAGTAAGAATAATATGTTTACATAGAGTCAATGTAGCCAAATCATCAACAGCACTGAATGAATCGGGTGTCACTAATACATTGTTTTTCTCACCAAATGTTTTTCGACAATATTGTTTGTCATCCGATGTTATAATAAATACAACTGAATGATACTTCACTAGAAAATGAGACATTGCATTGAATATATATTTGTCAGATGAAACACGTCGAACACCTACGAAATCTCCTCGTCGAATATGTATGCCTACGGAAGCGGAAACATTTTTACTGATATTTTTATCGAAGAAATTAGTCACTCGATCGAGAATAGATCGTTTAAAACGTAATTGTTGCTTTATTTGTTCCATATGATCGATAAAATATCTATATACTTGCCAATATCCTGATAATTCAATAGAATAGCTGTTGTTTGAACTTAAAAGAATAGGAATATATGAGCAATGATTATATACTCTGTTAGTCAAAGTAGAATTATTTAATTGTGATTTCGGTAACAAATTTGTTAAATTAATCTCGAATGATTTTTGAAGTTCATCAATAAGTTGTTGATCTAGATGCAATCGACATGAATATGTAAGTGACAAACCATAGGCTGACGCAAACTGAAATAAAAGATTTCCAAGTCGACCAATACCATGACGTAAAATGATGGTACATTGTTTAGTAGAATTAAATACAAGTTTATTCTTCGATAATTGTGAAATATTCACTGATTGGGAATGAATATTTAGCATATAAAAAAATATAATCATAATAACAATCAAACTTGTTACCTTTAAAGTTTTATTTCCACCCATTTTTTTACCGTAATAAATATTTTAATAAAATAATCTAAATAAAATAATAGCATTTAATATCTAATGAGATTCTTTGAAAAATAAAACTCATTCAAAAAAAATATGCATGCCTCAAATATTTACATTTGTAGTACAACTAAAATATGTTGTTTTATTTTTTTGTTCAAGTTAATTTTTTTCATAACTATAACAACATATTTGCACTTTTCTCAAAAAACTTTCAGGACAAGATAAATTGTTAGAGATATAAAACATCAATAATGTGATATATTGAAAGGGAAAATCAATTTACAAGTCAACAGTCTACAAATATCCTCATTAAATCCCTCAAAATGACTCAACATCCTTGTAGAAAAGCTTGTATAAGGAAATTAAAAAGAAAGTTCTTATGAAGTGGTTCTATTTCAATGCTTGCGTGTCAAAGCTGCTATTGCATCTTTTACTCTATTAGCGAATCGATTGCGAATACCACTGTCTTTAACGGTTTCGTTAAAATCATAACCCGGCATTGTACGTTGTTCACTTATCGATACATAATGAGCAAGTGTTATGTGATTTTCTGATGGTTGTTCGTTTGAAAGTCCAATTATTTGATGATGAATTGATAGATATTGAACAAAACGTGGTCGATATAAATACTTTTCACGTCCACTTTTATGTCGATTATGTGCACGAAAAGTAAATCGTTCAATAGTTAAACGATTTGTATTATTTTCTTCCGCAGTATAACTACTGGAGTTTTTACTACAAAAATATTGACTTCTTAAATTAATTGATTCTAGAATTCTTCGACCTAAGTGTTCATGTACATAATCAACAATAGTTTCGTATGGATGTAGTGGTACAATGTATTCATCAAGATCAATCATACCTAACCATTCTGATTGATCACCATAACGAACGAAACAATCGTGTAATGCTTCTACCTGAAAATATCGTGTTGGCAAAACATCAACAAGACCAAGAGCAGAGAAATCCCATTGTACAACATCAACAAGACCAGGATATTTTTGAGTATAAGTATTAATAATAGTTGAGAGATAATTATCAGTATCAGTTGTATTATATATGATGAATTTGCTAAATCCAACTAGTCGATGAAACTCGATCCATTGGACTAAATATTTAGCTTTGTTATGTAAAGGTGAAGTGCATAATGTAAAAGATTCTTGACTAGAATTTGATGAAGTGATAAAAACTACTGGAACTTTTACAAATGCTTTAAGTATCGGTATTTTTCTATCTTTTGTTGTTGTTGATGCAAGATAAACTCGTATTGTTTGATTCAATTTCCATAATTGATCATTAGCAAATTGACTAAGTGGACAATCCAAAAGAGATACTCGATCATTACCATATTTCAAATCATAAGTATATACAGGCGTTACTGATCCATCACTAAATATACACCAGAGATTTTGTTGATTTGACGAGAGTGGATGAGATGAGATGTGTTTTGGTAAAACAGTTTTTATATCGGTTGGATAAACTGTGACAAAAGTTAGACTTAGTCCATAACGTATACGACTTGCAGCAACACTTAATACAAGCAAATGACCATCGGCTGATAAACATGGTACTGTAGGTATATTATCTTCAGCATATTCAGGCCATGCAGCAACGACAACAGACATATCATGAAGTAAATTCTGTTCATCAATAGTATGGCCAACTGGTTTCCAACCATCTTCTGGAGAAGAATACGAGGTAAGAGTATTCAAAGTAGTCGCTACGAATGGGTATTTTGTGTATATGTAGACAGTTAATGAAATAAATAGAATTAAAATACATATAATAACGAACATAAAAATCTTGGACGATGCACGCCTCATAGATATTCCAATAATCTAGAACTAAAAGATAAATGAAACATGAAGTCACATAATTTGCATTCTCGAGGGTGTGGGTGTGGGTGTGAGTATAAGTATTTTATTATTTTTACATGCAGACTCGCACCCACAGCCACCTATGTGAGTGTATAACTGTTTATTATAAAGCTACTATTCCTTCTCTTGAATGAATGAATAATCAAATTATAAGCACATGTTCTTCTTATTGTTAACTATTTTCAGTTTACTGTATCGCTCTATCTACCCATGTCTTCAAAATCGCCAAGGTTTGGGCGATGAATCGCGATTAATTGACGATTTTTTGTTATATTATTATGAAAGTGAGACCAAGTTCGTGTTTTATTTAATTTATTATATTTTCATTAAGAGAAGGGAAAATAGGAATACCGAAGACTTTCTCAAGCTGCAGTTGACTTAGTAATAAATGCCACATGCTGAGAATAGAAGTTTAAAAAGAATTATTTACTGATTAATACGGTTTAATCAATAAAAAAAAGACGTTGATGCTTGCTTGTTTGATATACGTGTACATGCTTATTTTCCTGCTTTTTCTAACATCTTTTAACTATATTCAATGACTTTCCATTAGATGCATGAACTTGTCTTATTCGTTAGTACTTTGGATTAATCACATCTATTTTATCTCTTCTGATTGAAAATGTCTTATTCTCAAGCCATACACTTGAATCGAGTGATAAAATAAAAACAAGAAAGAAATAAAAAAAAATTCAAATATCAACAAATGATATACAGCAGCGCTGATACCGATAAAAAGACCTACCCATGAGGGTGTAAGTATATGTATACACCCATGAGGGTGTAAGTATATGTTTATACCCATGGGGGTATAGGTATATGTCTATACCCATGGGGGTATAGTTTATGTTTATACCCATGTGGGTATATAAATATTCATAAGTACCCATGTAGGTATAAGTAGTTACCCATGAGGGTATAAGTATACGGATATACCTATAAATGTATAGGTAAATATATATATATATATATATCCATAAGGATACAGACATAGAGATGTACTACATTCTTTTCGGTATGATCTTGTATGATCATATACGGTATTAGTATAAGATCTGATAGGGTCATGCAAGAATGTGTGACTGATATTAGTATCAGATTGTTCGACCTGGGGTAAGATGATAATGGGAGGGGTGAAATGAATCGTTTGTACTCTTAAAAAAACTCGATATGTCGCGATTAAATCGTGCAAAATCGCCAAATTGGTCGATTTTATCGCGATAAATCTCACAATTAATCGGGTGCTAAATCGCGATTAAATCGTCGATTTTGCCCCGATTTTGACGACATGGGAAAGAACGATGACTCTTTTTATTCTCAAAAATTAGACATAAAATCAATAATGAAGAAGGATTTTTATTTTTATGAGACTCTCACCTTCTATCACCTTCAGGTTTTCTTTCAAAAAATAGTATATATGATAAAAAATAGTATATGAACGAGTATGTCTTTTTATACATCGTTTTTATTGTTATCAATCTCATAAAACGAGCTGTTGTTGGTAGTAAAGCAGTTCTTTATTATTAATCTTGTTATACAACTTTTTTTCTATTTGTGCACATAGAGATAAAATCTTTCTTCAGTCGTAAACTTTTCTTTATTCTATAACGGTAAAGATTTCATTCACTTCCGCTGATGATGTGGGTGTGGGTGTCGGCGTGGGTAGGTTTGGGTGTTTTTTGTAATTATGCCTATATCCATACCTATACCCACCCACACCCACACCCTTTCAAATTAAAAATCAAATATTAATTTTGTATCAAAATGTTCATTGATTTGTTTTAAAACTCCAAATCAAGTTTGTTTTCATTGATTTCATTTTGACAAATCAATTTTTGATCCAATTTTTATTAACAAATTTTTTCCAAATCAAACAAAATAAAATTGAAAAATAATAAGATTTGTTAATTTATTAAACAAAAGTCTTTTCCACATTTGTTTTATTCAGTAAAATACATTACAATCCAATTTTTATAAAAAATATTTCTTTTCTCTTTTGCTTAAGACAATTTAATTATTTTCATCAAATAAAAATATTCAGATAGAATTTTCTGAAACACAAAATCTTCTTTTCTTTTGTTCTGTGAAATTCAATTAAAATTAACAAAAGATGAAGAATTTAACATTTATTCATACGAATATTTGAATCAAAATTATAAAATCAAATTCAAGATTAATAAAAAAACTAAAAAGATTTTTGTTCGTTGTCTTCTTATCAAAAATTTATTCGATTTTTTTCATTGATTTCCAGCAACAAAACTTTATTTTTCCTTTTATTTCTTGATTATTTATTCAATAAAAAATTTCATTCACAAATTTATTTCAAATTTTTGAATTCGATGATTTTCAGAATCGACAACATAAAGATTTCCATCGGCATCAAATGATAAACCGGTGGGACCATCCACTTGATTTGATTG